GTAAATAAGATAGAGGAGGTACTGGAGAAATATGGTCGGGTAAGGTATATATACATATATGAGACTTATTTGAACTCAGTTATAACATTCATTTACATTCAACATGGATCTGCAAAAGTTGAACAAGGCAACTTCATATAAAGAACTGAAGAATATTAAAGATTTACATATAAATCAAAAGTATAAAATAGTGAAACTGAGGTTTAGTAAAACCAAATTTGGTGACGGTATTGTGGCCGAAACTGAAAATTTTACCTGCTACTTACCAAGAAGATTTTACATACATTTTGAAAAGGAAGGTATTGAAAACTTTAACGATGCATTAAGAAGTCGACCTGTATATATGGTTAGTAAAGGAAAAATTGGTACAACAACGAACATTATATTTATCCAAGATGAAGCATGAAAATGGATTAATTAAATGATTATTAATATTTGATAATGTTATGTATTTGAAATAAACTTTTGTCTACAATGCCTTATATTCTATGTGAATGTTTTGCAATAGTTAGAAAATAAAAATATTTGTATTGAATGAACAATTCTTTATTCTACACCGTACATATACTATAAAATAAATCCTTATATACTATATTTTCTGTTCCAAGTAAATGATGCAGTGAATGTTTTGTCATAGTTTTTCTCCTGAAACATGTAAACAATTTTTATCGAGCTTTGTATATACACTGAATCTGAAGACAAATAATTTTGAACATTTAGTAACTGAATAATCCAAAGCCTATCTAATAACATGGATGATATGTGCAGATGTCTGCAATAAAACATGAAAACAGATACAAAAGTTGATTAAACCAACAAGGTTTTAGGTACTGAAATCTATGAAAATATCTGTTTTTTGTAAATACACGTCCACTTGTAAGTAATCTTATAACATATACTTTCATAGTCACACATATAAAATTGTTTATTTTTATTTGTAAATATGTGAAAAATTTGTTAAATTGTAGGGTTAGGATAGCTGAAAACGCATGTTTTACAAACGTGATTTTAAAATAATTATTTTATTTAAGCAAAACTTAAATAGTAATGAATATACATCAATGATTTTATTTGTGTGCTTATTTTTGTTCTATACGTTTTAGCTTTCAAGATTTCTGTACCTGAAATCGACTGAAATTTGTTTATTTCTCAGCCAGGAAATCAACCACCTTACACATGACTGGTGTATTGCGTTTAGAATTTAAAAAACATAAAACACAAACAAAAAACACCATGAATATTTGTTTTTAATTTAATTTTTAATATTTGAAATGTAAACTATAATCAATTGCATTAATAATATTTTATATGATGATCAAAAAAACACTTCTTTTAATATGGTTTATTTAATTACTATGTAGCATATATTTTTATTTTAATGTTCACAAGAAAATATATTTGTAATAAAAATATTTTTTATTTTACTTGTAGTCAAAAACTAGGTAATCACAAAAATAATGTTTTATTATATCATAGATATTTTAGGTTTCAATTGGTAAAGAAAACAAATGAATAAATAATAATACTATATTTAGATATATTTTTTTACACTACAAGATATATAATTAATATATAAAAAAGAAGATTAAAAGCAGCTGTAATTTAATAAAATTAATAATAATAAAATATTTTTATATTTAATTATTAATTTCACTAAATTTTGCAGCGATGACCTCATATTTTCTCTTTGTCTCGTTGGCAGACCGCTCCTTCCTGTCGAGGGAGAGCTCTTGCGCATCAAGGAGCCAGATCTGTTCCCTCAGTGACTTTTTTCCCCTTGATGTGGGATATGAGGTCTTCGGTGCTTTTAATTTTCTTCTTTATATTATTCATTTTTTAATCCACTCGCTGACGGAATTTCGCCCTCCGCTGCAACTCTTCATTTATAATTTCTAACCAATCCTCGGAATCGTCCGAGGTGGTGGATGAAGAGGTGGAGAACGTTGGCGAGAGCGACCGGAGGGACGAAGAAGGCCTCATATTCTTCCTTGCCAGATGCATATTTTTGCCTCTGCAACAAAGATTAACACATAATAATTTATATATTTCTCCAGGATGTTTTCAGATTTTTTTTTTAATTTATTTTTTGAATATTTACCTGGAAGGAAGTGCTGGAGCTTCGTGAGATGCCGGCGAATTTTGAAGATCGTCATCATCATCCTGTATTTGTGTCCCAATTTGTCTTTTAGCCGTCGCCTTTGATGAGCAGCTTGGCACCGAAGCCTCCATATGTATAATGGTGTCGATGGCCAAGTCGAGTTGTTCATCGAATATTCTGTAAGAAAAAAAAACGAAAAAATAGTTTAAATAAAACGTTGAAAAACATTAGAAAAAAACTTACGCTTCATTTATGGCGGCGTCGATTGCAGGACTACTTTCCTCACACATCTCTTGCAGCTCCAGGCGGGCCTCTTCAGATAAAGATGAGCACATAATGATAATATTAACAAATAGACTTTAGTAAAAGACTGTTGTTGTTTACTCAGCTCAGCTTGTAGAAGACTGAATAATATTTAACGAATTCAGTAAGCTTATATATCAAATTGTTGCAACTTACAGAGTAATACGAACATCCGGCGAATTCCCTTGAACTGTACAGATCACTTAACTCTTTGATGTCAGCTAAAATATTGTTACATAGTTATTCTTTGACGCCGTGCTTTGTAATTTGACCCCATTTCCTGCTGAGTAAGCAAAAAAATATATAATTTGAGACCATGCTGTGTAATTTGACACCACG